GGGGCGCGGCCCGGCCGCGGGAGCCGCCGGTTGCTACGCGGTGGCTGCCGGCCTGGCGGCCCGGGCCCGGCGGCCGCATTATACGGGTAATGCGGTGTGACACCGCGCGAACAAAGGCGGATTGAGCAGCCCAGCGGGCCACGCCGGACGGGGACCGGCACAGCGGGGCTGGCAGCGCCGCTCCCAGGCTAATCCCCGCCTCGCCCCGCCCCGCGTCCCCCACGCTGGGAACCGCGCGCGCCCTCTCTCGGGATCCTCATGGGCCCCGGCTGCGGCCAGCGATGCCGCGGGAGCTCCGGCCCCTCTGTGCAGGGGGCACTGGTGGGTGATGTGGGGCCAGAATCAGCCAAGCCTGCCCGGGCCTCACTGTCTCCAGGACTCCGGACCCCGAGAGGGCCAAGGAGAGAAGGCGCGGTGCAAGCCCCTGAGCCCGCCTTGGGTCTGGCCACCTGTGCAATGTGGAACGCACCCTCCTTGCCCCGGCCTTCATGTCCCTAATCGTCAGTGCTTCATCTATAAACGGGAGCGCTGTGTGGAATAAAGCACCCGAAGGGCAGCATCTGTTACACACACAGCATTTAGGATGGCTCTGGTTGTAAAGAGGTTGGGGGACACCCCTGAGAATATTCCCCTTTGCCAGACCCTGGGACCAGTGACAGTCTCTAGACCTGTAGTTTGAGGGAGGAGGGGTCAGGGAATGGGCAGCCATGGCAGGGAGATGCTGCACCCGTTTTACAGGGCAGGGTACTGAAGCTCACATAAGGAGTGGGCCAACAAGGACTCGGGATTGGGGCGGATCATTGCTAGATACAGGCTGCAGATTTCCAGGAAACACTGCAGACCTCCAGAGTAGAGGGTTCAGAGCTTGGGGGAGGGCAGGGAGTGTGAGCGTTTCTCTGGAGTTTGGGAAGGTACAAAGTAGGAAATCAAGAGCTAGGACAGCGCATGACCACCTTAGCGCTCCAGGAACATCCCTGCCCCTGTCATATTTGAGGCCCTGGCCTCCGTTGGTTAATCCATAAAGTGATGATACCAACCAGGGTCTGGACCAACTAAAGAGGTGAGGGAGGGCACCTGGCTCTCTTCCCGCTGCTGCTAAGCCTTTGAGTTCTTCCTCAGCCCTCGGAGGTAGGACTGGTGTGTCCTAGGCTCCAGCCTAAGCACCGCCTCCCCCAATCCCCCCACCCCCGCAGCCACCCGCGAGTCGGCCTTCGTGCACGCCATCGCCTCGGCTGGCGTAGCTTTCGCGGTCACGCGTTCCTGTGCCGAGGGCACCTCCACCATCTGCGGCTGTGACTCTCATCATAAGGGGCCACCTGGTGAAGGCTGGAAGTGGGGCGGCTGCAGCGAGGACGCTGACTTCGGGGTGCTGGTGTCCCGGGAGTTTGCAGACGCACGTGAGAACAGGCCAGATGCGCGCTCGGCCATGAACAAGCACAACAATGAGGCAGGCCGCACGGTAAGCCAGCCACCCCCAACCCTGGGAGGGCACACCTGGGACCCTTGTCCTGAACTGCCCTTCCCACCTTGCCTCTTCTGGGCCTGAGTCCTATTCACACTCCTCAGCATCCTCTAACCACTCACCTTCCTATCTTAGAGCCCTTTCTTTAGAAAAATCGAGTGTGTGTTGGGTGCGTGCGGGTGCAAGTTAGAGGTCACCTTGTGGAGTTGATTCTCCTCTTCTACCTTGTGGGTTCCTGGATATAACTCCAGTCCTCAGCATGCTTGGCCACAAGCTATCTTGCTGGCCCTGTTCCTGGTTCTTTGGGAGAACAAGTTTGCCAGGGAGAATGGCCATCCTAGGGAAGCAGGTGCCTGTAGTCTTTGGTTGGCTAGCTGTGTCTGTGTAGGCCTGTGATGTGGTGGTGGTGCTGGTGGGGACTGGCTTTGAGTCCAGCTTGCTCCCTCCCTATGGCTGTGCAATGTTGAGCTCTCAGCCTGTGTCCCCATCTGTTAATTGGGAATAACAGTCCCTAGTCCCCACCACTTTGATAAGTAAATGTGATGTCTGCCAGTGCACAGGGTGTGACCAGGGACACTGGTCCCCATCCATTCTCCTAACACTAGAGTAGGGAAGGAAGTGTGGTACAGAGGGGATGGTGCCCCAGGTGGAACATTCCAAGCCTAACTGCTGCTCCTCTTCCCTAGACCATCCTGGACCACATGCACCTCAAGTGCAAGTGCCATGGGCTGTCAGGCAGCTGTGAGGTTAAGACCTGCTGGTGGGCCCAGCCCGACTTCCGCGCCATTGGTGACTTCCTCAAGGACAAATATGACAGCGCCTCCGAGATGGTTGTGGAGAAGCACCGGGAATCCCGGGGCTGGGTGGAGACGCTCCGGGCCAAGTATGCACTCTTTAAGCCACCCACTGAGAGGGACCTGGTGTACTATGAGAACTCCCCCAACTTTTGTGAGCCCAACCCAGAGACAGGCTCCTTTGGCACCAGGGACCGGACTTGCAATGTCACCTCCCATGGCATCGATGGTTGCGATCTGCTCTGCTGTGGCCGTGGCCACAACACGAGGACCGAGAAGCGGAAGGAGAAGTGTCATTGCATCTTCCACTGGTGCTGCTACGTCAGCTGCCAGGAATGCATCCGCATCTATGATGTGCACACCTGCAAGTAGGCAAGTAGGGTGTCAGGGCGGGGGGTGCAGGGCTGGGAGTCAGGCTGCCCCTCTCCTCTGCTAGCCCTGCCCTTCTGTATCTAAGCTGTCCAAGACATACTAGCTCCCTGAACCAAAGTAGGAAGTTTGAGTTTCTCAAGCTTCTGTGGAAGTGGGTCTTGGGTAACAACTTGGTGGGTTTTACCAAGCTCAGATAATAACTGAGTGTGTGCACCCAAGAAACAGCCATTGATTAAAATTCTCACACAAATTAGCAAATGATAAGCCAGACCAGATTTGTTCATGGCCACTGGCTGCCATGACTGATTGTCTGTGCAGACAGAAGAGAGATGCTAAGGTCTGGTTCCCACAGTGCCCCAAACTTCCCATTCTTTCTTTTCTCTGGGCCTCAGTTTCCTTACTGAAGGAAAATTTAAATGCATGAAATAGTGGACTGAAAAGTCTCTTCTACCCTGGGGCAGAGTCATTTTGCATCTACCATGAACTCATAGGCTTTGACCTAGCATAAATTCTCCTGAGCTTGGGGAGGTGGGTGGGAGAAGCGAGATCTGAAGGTTGGGTGGAGCAGGGAGCACTCTCACCAGGTTTATGGAGGGAGATGGGGAGGAGGAGGGACTCAAGTTCAGAGTGACTGTGGTGAGTAATCATGGGATAAAAGGCTGGTGGATTATGCTCCCAAGCTTCCCAGAGGTGGCCTGTGTGGGAGGACCCCAGGGAAGGTCAGTCTAGACACAGAGTGGTCCTGGAGCCTTGGGCATGGGTGGTAGTTTCTAAGGCCAAGTTGACCCCAAGAAGGGGTGTGACCCCTGTGCAGAGGTATGACCATTCTCCCTTTTGCCAGCTGTGGAACCCAGACAAGGTATTCTTCATAGACCAGTTTCAACATCTGTCACCTTCCCCAAAACTGCTGTGAGGAACATGGGAAAGACTCTGGGGACAATGCTCAGTTAATGGAAAAGCATGTCTCTTCTGCTGGTTTATGGCCTGCCAGTGCACCTCACCTCATGATGTGTTCCTCCCAGGCACCTTGGAGTTGGTGGCACACTGGAGCGGATGGCTCAGATCTGCCCTGTGTGTGGCCGGGTAGGGCCTGACATTGCAGCTCTTGTTGAGGGGTGACCCCTTCCCAGCCCATTTAAGAGGAGCTTAGGTTCCATCCTGGCAGGGAGAGTCCAAAAAGATACAGGAGGCAGGAGCTTTCTCTGTGGCAGGAACAAGTAGGGCAGGGAGAGGAAACAGGTGAGGTTCAGCACCCTGCTTGCCAATTCTTACACCTTGGACCACCAGTTTCCTCGCTTGTGCAGTGGTGGTAGAATGGGGGCCTTGCCAGATTAGTGGATATGAATGCTTCCCTGAATATAGCACTAACTGGAAGTGTGATCAGTACCGTCAGGATCGTGGTGAGGGCTCGCTGTGAAGGAACAGCATCATTCTGGCAGTCTCACTGCTTTTCAGAAGGATAGGAGAAAAGTCAATGGGTATAAAGACTCGAAGGCCAATGGTGGCAATTGAGGTGGAAGGAATGTTGAAAACCACCGTGGCCACCTTCTCCAAGGATGTCCACTATGGCAAGAGGTAGCTCTGTACTCCCAATATCAAAATGCACATAGCTTTGGCAGCTCTGAGAGGGGCTGTGGGAGCAGATTCACAGAAGTCTTAGAAGACTGGTCAAGCCAGGAGGGCTATTTGTCTAGCCTGCCCCTTTCACTGATGGACAGACAAGTTAGCAGCCTAGGCTGACTGCTGCCTCCAGAAGCTCCTATAGAGGTCCTGCCAAGGCCTCAGCAGCTGCAGCCCAAGCCCCATCTGTAGCCCCAGGGGGTCAGTGTGTATCACAGATACAGATCCTGAGACACTGTCCCTGTTCCATATAGGCATCTGAAATCTGCCAGGCAGGGAAGGAGGTGTTGGGTTGGCCCTCAGTGTTCAAAACATTTCCCCAGGTCCAACTTTTGTACTAAAGCTATCCCTCTAAGAAGAATCAGGGCATGGGGCTGGGTGGTAGAGTATATGTCCAAAGCCTGGGTTCAATCCCCAATGCTGGGGAGGATGGAAAGCAGCCCCTCTTTCTTCTGCATCTACAATAGACACTTGGTGTTTTTCCAGTATTGAAGTGTTATGCAGGCATTGTTTGAGGACACCCACGTAGGTCATAGTCCAAGCCTCTCTCACATATGGGAGCTCTCAGGGCCACACTCCAAACAAGACAAGTAGGGAACTCCCACTGTGATGCCTTTTTTATAGAGATTCAACACTACTCTCATGAAGAACCTGACCATGTGTCCAGTGCTCATGGAGAGGCAGCCGAGATTCTGGGTTTCCAGCGTGGCTGATCAAGAGCACTTTTCTTTAGGCTTGTGGTCTGGTCTGCAGCCATAGGCCAGAAGCTGGTCAAAACTTGGTCACTTCCCATCCTCTTATCCATGCAGACACTGTACTGATGGAACCCCAATCAGGGGGCAGAGAGAGCCTCTAGCTTTTTTTGGCTCCTCTGTCAGTCTTGGCAGAGTAGAGCAGGCCACATGCCCTCCACACCTTCTGGGAAGAGCTCAGAACGGTGGCTTTGTCAAGGAAGAACAGCATCCCGGCCCTTCCTGTGTGGGGAAGACACCGTTTCAAATACTGATAGCTTAAAATCATCCAAATTAGTCCTTGTTCCCCTGTGCTGGAAAGACTCTGGACCAGAATCACCTCACCTGACTGGCTCTAAAGCCTAGGTCTGTCACTAGTCTTTTGTGGGACCTTGAGCATATCCAGGTAATCTTGCTGTGCCTGTTTCTGCCTCTATAAGTCTTGTAACTGGCCCTGCTGGCCCCACAGCTGAGGGCTGGATGAAAGTGCCTGTAAAATGGCCACATGCCTCAAATCCTATGGGATAGGGCTGTACAGAGGCGTGAACATACCCAGCAGAGCTCTCTCGGGAGGGAATTCATCAAGAATCCCTTGATTTTGGACAGCTCATGGTAAGCTCCCTGGTGCCTGGGTAGAAACATGGAGCATATCTGATACTAGCCCTACTGAGGACTGGCTACTCAGACGGGCAGGCTTCTCCATCTCTACATAGGACAAAGTGTACCCACAGCCCTCAGCTAGAAGCAGGGAGGTTAGATTTCTGTGGGTGCAGGCTCCCCTGTTCCTGCACATGACTTGCCCTCCCCCAGTGGCAGGCTCCTAGATGTGCCAGCAGCCTCTGATCTTTGGATCCCAGGGGGTGGTGTCCTTAGGAGAGTTATTAGGTTTCTGATTCTTCCCGTTTATTTTCCCAAAGGGCACTGGGAAGGGGTAGAGTGCGTGCGGCTGGACTGATTCATCGAAGTCCCATGGGACCTAGATCTGGGCCAGCCTTCGGCGCTGGCCAGCAAGGAGCATGGACTGTTGCCAGCTGCATGATAAACGACCCGGACCCAAACAGCCTCGGACGGGAGGCTCCTCCTCTCTCATCTAACGTTTCTCACCCTGTTCTGGATGGTGTGTGGCTTTTACAGAGGGGCTTTCTTTTTGGTTCTCCAGAGTCTTCTAGGAACAGACCTGAGGCTTACCTTTGCACATGTTAAAGAAAATAAAAATGAAAAAAAATAATTCTACTGCAACAGAACAGGCCCGGCTAATGTGAGCTCTTGGCCTGGTGGGAAAGACATGGGCAAGATTCTGTCTCCCAAGATGCTTCTACCGGAGACATTCCAAGATGCCTGTGAGGTGGGAGTTGTGAAGTAGGACAGAGCCCTGTAGTCTCCTTTTGTCTGTCTACACCCTTTCAAATTGGACACACTTTTCCATTCTAACAAAAGCCATAGGTAGCTGGGATGGAGTGGCAGGGAGTCTCAATGGAATTGTTGGAGCAGGATGTTGGGTTTTGAAGAACTAACTTTGAGTTCTGGGTGGCCTGGGAAGCCAATTGAAAAATGACTGTGTTCTCAGACTCATTTTTTTCTATAACCCTGCTCTGCATAAGAGAGAGTCAGATCTTGACATCTTTTTCTGCCATTCTGCAGCTTCCACCATTGCCGAGTATATTTTTCATGGTGGACCTTGTAAATAGGTTAGATGTGGAGGCAAGTCTCTTCCAGCTCCAACCTCTGCCTGCAGGAAGAAGGGGCTCTTCTGTCCTTCCCAGCCCTGCTCATGTATAGACATCAGGGAGAGCAGTTGACTTATAGGGTGGGCACCTCAGCATAACTAGAGTGGATGAGAAAGCAGCAATCTAAGATGTAATTCCAATTTTGTGTCTGGCATGTGGGGAGGGTGAAAATTGAGGGCAGGCCTCCTTGAATCTTTTCTGCCTTTGGTCCCAGGTTAAGGAAATACAGAGTTCCTTAACGTAGCCTCTCCCCAACCTGTGAGTGAGAGAGCCTAGATCCAGGCAGCTCCCAAAGATCCGATGTTCAAAGGAGGCAAGCAGGTGAATGAGGCACCTTCCACCGTAGTTCTTCATACACACTGGCCCTGGCTGGTGTTCTTGAAGGGGCTAGCCAGATAGGCATGGGCAGTACAGAGCAGTATACCAACTCTGTCAAGGAGAATTAGAAGAGATGAGACTAGGGAACGGAGCAGAACAAATATTTCTTTCCTTCCTTCTGTCTGGGGTCTGCTAACCCTGACCTGATACCAGCCCCACCTCTTGGTATGTGCAGGTGACTTGCCAAGCAGGCCCTTTAGGGAGGATGCCCTCACTCTCCACCCTCTGGCCATGAGCACCGCTCAAACTACACCTCCTGCCCCTTTCTAGCATCTAAAATGCCCCTTCCCATTTAACCTTCGAGGTCTGAAATCACAAACGACTGGATAATGCTTGCTTTATGTGAGAACATTTGAGCAGAATGGATACAAAAATTTTAAAGTCTTTTCATATCTATGTATTCTATATTAAAAGTGATAAAGTCATGTTTTGGGGGCGTATTCAAGTAGCTGACAAGTAATTATTTAATAATAGTACATGAGTGCATTGTGATTATCCTCTCTGTAGTCAGGTAATAGTATCCAACGGGAATTTCCTACCAACCTGCTGTATCCAAAGTTTTGTAAAAAGTTGTAGAAGTTGTTGATCTTTTTGATTTTATATTCAAAAAGTCTTTTTTTATAAATTTTATTTATTATACAATGTATATACCTTTGAGTTAACTAAGATTATATATTATATAAATATATATATATATTTGGAGAAAATATATTTCATCATGCAGTTTTTTTCTGTTAAGTCATTAAAGAGAAGGTGAATTTAAAATGGATACATTGTACCATGTGTGGAGTTTCCAGAGTCCTACTCAGGTCAAGGATATGTGATTCTGAAATGGTGGCCTCTGCTAATTAAATGGCCAAATGGTAGTCATATCTGTTTGCTAACTAAGCAAGATCATCCTAGACGGCTTGGACAGTAGTGTGACATGAGACTTTCTTAAAGGATTACTTGATTCTAAGTCAATTTCAAACAAGGAATTTCCACTTTTGGAAATAACACATTTGGGCAATAAATTCATTTCATAGACTTGAACATTCTCAACACATACACTGATACCTTAGATACTCCTAAAAGCTATGGCCCAAGACCAGGGGGCCACAGGACTGGATGTGGTCCTATTCCCCCACCCCCTCACCACATTACCAGCTGCATTTGTCGGAGAAAGGATTTACGCTATTGAAAACAAAACTGGACCAGAAATGACCCCTCCCCTGCCAACTTCCAGGCCACAGCTGAGCTGTAGAAAAGGTAGGCAAGTTGGCAAAATGGTGTGCCCCGGGATCTGGAATATGTGACACTTGAAGATGTAGGTTGGTTTGGGCAGAAAGACCTGCCACTGGGCATGCTCTGGGGAAGGACACTCTCTCCTTGGGCTCAAGTTTCAGTAGGACAAACCTGAGGCTCTCGTCCTGCCTTCCTGATGATTCGGTCTGACAATTACGGCCCTTTAGTTCAGGCCCACCTATAAAATGCCACCTTCAGTGTTTCTGATGGATTGCTTCAGAGAATAGCTAAAGTGTTTTTTCTTCCCTTCTCTTGGTCTATTTGTATTAGAAATAAGTATTGCTCACGTTGTTTCATAAAATAAAACCAAGAAAATGAAGCAATTTACCTCTGGTGGTAGAAGTGGGCTGCCAGCACCAGACCTCCAGCTCTAGACCTCCTAGGTAGGGATGGTCCTGAGAGCTTTCTTTTGATAATGTCTTTAGGTCCTGGAAAGCTTGTTCCAACTGTGCAAGTATCCATCCCATTTATCCTGGCATTCTGGATACTTTTTTTTTTTAATCTAGAAGATTGCCAAATATGTAAATGGTTTCTATTCATACTTACTAAGGCCATTTGTATCCTATGACTATTGTATTCTATGATTCAGGAGAATAGAGTCTATAGTTGTACTTGAACATTAGTATCTCTTTAAGCATCAATACTTATAAAAATAGAGGAAGTTTCAAGTCTGGAGAGGTGGCACATGGCTTTAATCCCAGCACTTGGGACGCAGAAGCAGGCAGATATCTGAGTCTGAGGCCAACCCGGTCTACATAGCAAGTTACAAGCCAGCCAGGGCTACACAGTAAGACCCAGTTTAAAAAAAAAAAAAAAAAAGCCAGGGGGAGGGAGTTTAAAAAAATAGAAGGAAAAGACATCATGAGAAGGTATTTTTCAAAGCAACATTACTATGAAGAAGGAAGCGTGAGTTTATAGATGAGGCATAAATACAAGGAGGTAAGGAAAAAGATGGTGCGATCATCCTGGGTGGATCTGCTGGTGCTCCTGGAGTGCTGCTGGGCACATGGACACTACCACATGTGGCTGGTGTACGGGCAGGAGGGAAGCTAGCTGAACAAGTGTGGCTGCGCTGCCGCTACCACTTCCCCCCATTTAGCAGAACGTCTAGGAGACTCCCCAGCTAGTGTCCATTAAGTAGAGGCTGTGCTAGGAAAATCTCAAACACGTGGCCTTCAATTTGTCTTCTTTTCGGACATAGTCTTTGTAGTGCTGGTTATCCTGGAACTCACTATGTACAACATGCTAGATCACTTGTGGTGATCCTCCTGCCTCTGTCTCTTGAACTGGGATTACAGGAGTGCATCACCATATCCCAGCCTCTTTGCAGACTCCATCCTGGCCTCTTTTGGGCTCCTACTGATTACAGGTGTGCCTTCTGCATCTCTATGCTACTATGTCAGTGCATATCCTCCTGGGCTCATCTTGGGACCGGGCCTCAACAGTTTGCCAGCTGATGAGAAGCTTCAATCATTTTGCAATAACTTCTGAAATTAACATGTTTTTTTGAACTCTCAAACACACCCTTGCCCAGTCACTCTGAAGAAGCTTGTAGCCCAGTTGCCAAGCACAGAAAAGAAATTCCTGCTCTTGCCTTTTGTGTTTGGATGGAGCAGCTATTTATAGCTGACTCAATGCTTTGGGAAGTCTATTGATTGGGGCTTGATTATTAGACACAATTGAATCTACACCTTAATTCTGTGATGCATGGCTGAAACTTAATTTTTGGCTATGAAGAGACAGTTTCAAAACATTTTGGACACTAAGTACAATTACATAGATTTTGTATATTACATAAAAAAAAAATCCTCAGTGAAAATGTAAACATTTAGTTTAGATAAACGGTTTTAAGTTACATTTTCTGACAGCCAGTTAAGTTCATCCACACACAGATGGCAAACTCCGTGGCTCCCGTGCTCTGTCACCTGGCCACGCTCTTGTGCTCTGTGGCCCAGTCTAAGCTCACCTTCTTAAGGCAAGGAGACTAGGCTAGCCTCAGGAGCTTCCTCCCAGAGCTGAGGGATGGGGAGCTGCTGTCCAGGAAGTTGCTGAGGACAGCCTCTTCTCCAGACTCAATTTTTTCTGGGTTTTCTTGGACCGAACCTAGTCAGTGCCAAGGATTAAGTCTGTGATGTCTGCTATCTCAGAGAAATGCAGAAGCTATGAAGGACACCAAAATGAGCCAGGTGAAGACATGAGCCTAGCAGTCCCTTGGTTTGTATACTTCACAGGAAGAGTACTTGGCTGGGAAACAACTTTCCTCTCTGGTTTCTTACTAGTTCATGGCTCAGTAGCTCTGTTTTAAAAGGTAAAGTAAGAATCAAGCAGAAGTATAAAGATTCTTGTACATTAGCATTCTGATATGTGAGTAATCTGTTTCTTCTTAAAATTTTCTAATATGAGATTTGAAAAATAAACACTCCTTTCCCCATGCCAGCTGTAGAGGACAAGGAGGGTTCTTCTCCAAGCCCCTCTTCTTCACACATTCCCACCAGAAATCTAGGCTGTTTTGTACAGAATATTGGTCTACGCAATACTTCAAGTATATTTATTCTTTATTGCATTCCTTCAATATGCATTACACAATATAATATTTTTACTTTTCAATATAGTTCTGGACAAAACAAAAAGACATTAACCTCACTGAAGAAGAGACATAAGTTAACACATGTTCTGCTTCATGGGGAGTAAAGAGGAAGACCACAGGCAAACGGGTCCACGGCTCTAGCCACCAGGAACTGCAATTTCACAACACAATTTACACTTTTAAAGCTACAAAAAAGCCAAGGAAGAAAACCCAAAACAAAGTATACAGACAGCAAGATTTGGAGATGATTAGCCTTCTGTGGGGACAGTGACAGAGCCACACCCAAGTGCCACTGCAGCAGCAAGCCTACGGGGCGGCACGTGGCACCAGCTTAAGGATGGCTCTGATTGCTACCCACGTATTTTAAGCAGCAGCAGGGAGGGTGGCATGCACCAGAAGTCTCATCACCATGAACAATGACCCAATTAAAATTCTTCTGACTCACTGATAAGACAAATCACCCTCAAAAGGACTGCACGAGCTCCTCCCTTTGGAAAAAGTGTTCAGTACTCTGGAATGGACATTCGAGGGAGAGGACTCAGAGGTGGCTCATTTTGTTAGGTGATAGTGTTTTATGTGCTAGATATTACAGATCATTTGAAATACAAGAAAGATACTAAGTAAGTCACTAGGCTGAGGAGAAAAGAGTGATGATACTAATCAGCCTGTAACATCATCCTAAGGAATTGACCCACTTAGAGTTGGACACTAATTAGTGCTGAGAGGCCTGTAAAATGACTTAATTTCAGTATTTCTTTCTGTTTAGGGATGCACAGCTTTCTATGCATATCTTTCATAAGGTTTAACAACATTTACTGAGTGGTAATGATTAGCATATCTCTTACCACAGAGCAAATTAATTACATTCAGGGCATATCATAGTCACCACAGTAATGATCTGACTTCCTAGTAAGAAAGATTTCCTGATTGCAACTTGGAAACATCCTGAAAATGATTGAGAACAGCATCTCAGATATTCAAAGTCCCATCTCTTCAGGCAAATGGAATAACCTGTTCTGTGGGAGAGCCTCTCAACCAAATACCCAGTTAGTTACCTTTAGTGTCAGCATAGGGAAGCTCTCTGTTAAGGATCTCATGGAACTTACACCACCACACTTTGCTCTAGGTTTGCGTGCAGAAAGCCTACCTTCTAGGAGACCGAGTGCTGGCTTGTGGCATTCACCACATGTACTGATAGTTTTCTGGGGGTGGTGGTGGAGGAGAGCTTCACATGCTCAGTGTGCCTCCCACATGTGGACTCTGAGTAAGAAGGAATCATCTTAGCTTGCATGGACAGGAAAGCATAGCCGTCTAAAGCAAGTTTACACCTTGCACTGAACACTAGGAGACAGCTCTCAAAAAGCACACTGGTGTTTTATTGCACTGGTGATCATGCAGGGTGAGCATGTTGAAGGTGGAGGACATTTCACGTAGTCCTGTTGAGAGGATGAGTGAAGATACCAGGCCGTCTGCACCTTGGTCACTTCCCTTGGTCATTGTTGTAAACAGTCCATTTTCACTCGAAGTCCAGGGGGCTACTGCATGAGAAATATCCAAACACACACAGAGAACCATGAGCTCTGCAGAAGGTCATCCACCAAGAAATAACCAGAAACTTCTCAATGTTTTCTCTGCCCTTCCCACTATGCGTTTGCTATCTGATGGGCACTTTACAAAAGAAAATGGCTACAGCTCCATGCACATAAAAGCAGGTTCCAATAAATATGTACCATTACGTTTTTTCCTGCATTGTGACAAGGAAGTTTTGCGAAGCAGGACAGGGAGAGCAAACCAACAGAACCAACTTCCTTGCTTGGTCTCTCAGACCTACAACACAGGGAAGAATCTAATAAATGAAAACAAAGTTATGTAGGAAAGAAACCAAATTCATATGCACTGCACTGTATGAAACTCTCAGGGTAAGCACTGGGATTTCAGAGTGGTACCCATAGCGGGTGGTCCTGGGTGCTGTCTGTACTTACGCTCCTTCTTCTCTTAAGAGGGCCAAGAATTTCCTCACACGGTATTCAGGGTCCATCTAAAGTCATCAGAGAAAACAAAGAAGACACGTCAATGGCATCTCCTAACAAATACTCACTTCATGCCAGGGAGATGCTCAATCACACGCTTCCAGTGGCACACAGAAATGTGCCACCTGCTCCCTGGCCAGTGCTCTGATGCACAGCAAAGCAGATGATGTCATTTAAAAGCAGTGGGATTTCCCAACATGGAGAATCACTATACATTGGGTTCAAATGTCCTGACCCACTGGTCATTCACAGGTGGCTCCGGCCAAGTGCTCCCTCAGCTGGTGTTGGTGTGAGGAGGAGGAGCTCACGGGCAGGGGTTCACTCATGGGGGCTCAAAGGACAGCTAATTCACAGGTCTTATTGAATGAGTAAGACGGATCTTGAGCAACCAAACTGAAATTCATTAAATGACGAAAACAGAGCCTATGGTTTTTATATAATCAACAGCCTGGCTTTTCTTAGCAGCATGTCCCACAAACAGTTTCTTCAGTGTTCCTTGAGTACTTTCTTCTTTGCAATTACTGGAAACATTGTGCTGTCCCTAAGACAGCAGAGCTGGGTTTCTCTCTGGACACCTGGCCTCTGGCTGTGAATGTGTCACAGACCCAAGAAAAGATGGAAGGGTATGATCTGGGTTCTCAGTTCAGCCATCATTACTAATTATCTCTCCTGGTTGTCATTTTGTATCCAATAATTTGTTAAAGTATATTTTATTCTCATTGGTCTAAGGGAGATGTGGAGTTATCTGGAAAGAGATCATTAAAAACATCTTCAATTCCTTAAGATGAATTTTTACTGTAAGAAACGCGCCTCACCTTTAAAACATGTTGCAGAGCATTAGTCTGTTCCCAAGAGGGAACTCCCTGCCCTCCAGGAGCAGCTTGCAAATGTTAGGTGCAGCTGTGGGCAACCGAATTCCCCCCTTCAACCACTTTTTAATTTCTTCTCTTCTGTCCCAGCAAAACATTGAACAGAAGTTTCAAATGTATCAAAGTTAACAGGTCAGACTACAAAGGACTAAGAAAAAGTATGACTAGCTAACAAAAGAAACATTTTTCCTCTTTGGGAATAGAATTACATATGAATCAATTGTCAAAGTTCTTTTTAAAAACTGGAACTGGCTGGAGCTCAGCTGTAGTCAGCACTTGCAGGTCTTTGCCCATTAAATATATTTAATATGTGTGAGCAACGACTTACTGACTTGCCTGTAGCTATGGAATTAAAAGTCAAGAGAAAGGGAGGAAAAAAGTAATCTAGATAAATGACTTTATTCCCTCAGGTGACATCCAGTCAGAGCAGATCCTCAGTGCTGTGCAAGTTTTAACAAAATCGGTACGGCGAACAGAGGGAACATGACTTACATTCTGCTAAACTACATGCCTCTCCACTTGGGCTAAGGCTCCTAAGGCAGATCTAAAGAGGAGTCACTCAGCTGCACGGAATCCATTTGACATGAAGGGGTTCAAACTCAAGGCCTATGACGTGTCAGTCGCTCAAGATTAGGCCCGAGTGCCCCACTCTCACCTTCTACCCCACATACATAAGAAGCATTAACTTGATCACTGACCTGCAGGCATCAAAGGAAGAGGAAGGGAAGGGGGTTGGGGAGAAAAACTCAAAACTCGCATAGTTTCTTCTGTGCAATTATTTGAAAAAAAAGAAAAACTTGTGCTGAAACTTAAAAAAAAAAAGAGTGGAGTTGACTTTCTGACAGATTTATCTTTTTTCAAGGAAAGAGCTGATACACCTGTATGTGCACCTTTACCAGAAATAAGCCTAGGCAAAGGGCTCTGTCTGTGACTCTAATTTATTGCTCATAAGAGAAAATATATAAATTGACTTAAAAACAGTCCAGTAGAAAGTTCAATAAATCACTGGTTTCTGAAAACCACAAAAATTTAATTTTAAATTAAATTTACCAGAGAGGATTAAAAATTTTCTCCAGGGGCTAGAGACATGGCTCAGTGGTTAAGAGCACTGGCTGTTCTTCCAGAGGACCCAAGCTCAGTTCCCAGCCCCTACATGGCAGATAACAACTGTCCATACCTCCAGTTCCAGGGACCCAACACCTTCTGACCTCTGTCGGCATTGCATGCATGGAAGCACTTACATACATGCAGGCAAAACATTCAAACACAAATTAAAAAAAATTCTCTCCATATTTATAGTTTATTGGATCAAGAGTTTCCTTCAGCTGTGACTGTGAAGCTTAAACTTCCCAAAGCTCATACTGGTTGAAGGGCAGGCTGCTCAGTAGTGTATAATGCTTAGAATAATGCCAGTCTGTCTGTCTGTCTGTCTGTCTGAGGATGGATGGATGGCTAGATGGGTGGTGGGTGGATGGATGGACTCCATTCATTCATTCATTCATTCATTCATTCATTCATTCATTTGCTTGTTCATTTGTTCATGCAAAGTTTACTGAGCACTCTAGTATATGTTGAGCTATTCCAGGAGCTGTGGATAGTGAGTGATAGAAGGTATCTGGCTTCACGAAGCTTGCTATGCATATACTTAATATCCAGTACATCAGCATTCCAAAAAGAGGGAAGGGAAGTGGCAGTAGATATGAGAAAGTTCTAAAGAAGTTTTATCTGTCTCTGCCCAGGCAGCAGACTGAGGCTCAGTTTTCTACTAGATCCTGGATGCTTTGACTCGACAGCAGTCTGCATGGAACATTTAGAAGTCCAGTCAGGGGAAAATACCCAGAGGCTATGTCTAGTCTGTATAGTTCAACACACTTGTCCCTTGTACTGTCTCCCAGACCTCCTTTGCTATCTGTGCAGTCATTTACTGACCTCTGATGGGCAGCACCAACTCTCCTCCATAACAACCTGTGTGATCTGGGCCAATTCACTGACAACCTGTGGGACGTGGCACACTATCCATAAAGCAAGGGGACAGCTGGACAATTACTCTTTGAAGTACTTCCTGGTTCCAAGAATATAATAAATTAAAACTCAAAGTAACATTGTTACTCTTGTCTTCTATTTGTGAAGTTTAGAAGTAGGAACGTAACAATGTTATTGCTTGTTAAGGAATGAACCTAAGGAAAGGAATCAAGCCCTCTTGTGTACAAGCCCTCTTTCTTTGCATCAGGCAGAGAATAAAGTACCTCACCTGCAGGGACATCTCAATCAACATTAGTAACTTCTTGATTCCTATCCAGACTTTCTTCCCTTTCACTTGCTGTGCAATTGTGGTACGTTCCTTGTCCTTGAAGTTGCCCAAAAGCTACAAAAACAATAAACATTAATGAAGATATGTTTGCAGTATATAGATCAGCCTGCTCACCCTTAAGACAACAGTGGGAAAAGCGACCTGACTCGGATAAGCTGACCTTCCTACCCCCTTAGGTGTGATCATAAAAGGAAAAAATGGCATCTTGGCATCTGTGTTTTCTTTCTTTTCATGAAAGGAAAAGCTGGTACCTTGGTATCTGTTTTTTTGTTTGTTTTTAAGACAAAGTCTTATTCTGTAGCCCTGACTAGCTTCAGACTCATGGAAATTCTTTTGCTGTGGCCTCCTGAGTGCTGAGTTTACAATGTCTAGAATAAAACTTACATTTTACACTATTTTTCTAGAGACCTCTACTATAACTAAGAGATTTGCAGGTGAAATAGCTTCAATTCATAATAAATACAGTTTAAAATTTTAACATTCCTTCCTATGAACAATCTATATGTGTCAAAGCAGAAGAAATTCAAATGTTTGACTCAACCCAGACACAAAAGGCTGCTCGAACAGGTAGCCTAGACATGTTTCTCAAATGCACAGCTTCTATTTTGTTGGGAGCAAACAGCTACTCTGTTGAGTCGTGAGGCCTTCAAGCTGAACTGACTCTACCATACAGAACTCCTTAGGTCATATTTTCCAACAGATTTCATCAAGTCATTTGTGTACATTAATATTAATCAAAGTTTACTGAAGCATTTTTTTTTAAATTAAAGATTTTATCATCCTCAAAAAATTTAAGAAAACATGTCTATATTATAAAGTTGTTAGTGAAGTTTTGGTAACTTTTGGTAGCCTTTTTTGCAAAGACTTTAATAACTGTTCTAGTTTTTTTAAATGCAAAGAATGTGCTGCCAGCCACTGTGAAGAGCTGATTTTTCTACACAGTGATTACTTCCCACCTTGCATTCCACCCTCCAAATTCCTGGCCATGTAGTCTTTAAGTATCAAATATATGCTGGGAACAGAGCAGCTGACTCCTGGCAGCTTGTATGCTGCCCACAGCCAGGACTGGGAAGTTAATGCACTTTTTTGCATTCCTCTTCTTCCTCTAGTTCCTGAAAACCATTGGAGGTAATGTCCCAGGATCTCACATTCTAGGGTAACTTAAGTCATTTACTAAATGCCAGGTGGAACGGCTGGTTGCCCCTCCACATCATCTCCAGCCTCAACTTCTCTCTGATAAACAGATATGTTGACCCACGGTCACCTCCAAAGCTTCTAACAGCTGCTCTCCTGTGGCAATATTGGGCACGTGGATGGTGGTGCTGAAAGCGTTGAGCATTTCCATTTCCTGAAGGACATCTTTACGGCTAGTTGTCCCAATGATGAGAAGCTTGCGGCCCTGATTACAGGGAGAAAAATGTGTTAAAATACACAGAAAAAGACTAGGAAACTAAAAGAAACTTGATCAAAATGAGCAAAATCCATTTACTGGGCAAAATACAAAAGATCAGGATTTTCCAAATAAAATTCTAAAAGAATTGCAAAAGTGTAATAGCTTCTTCACACCATTTGTAAACCAGGGAGACACCAAACCAAACTGAAAGAGAGCAAAGCGTAGGCCTGCAATTCTGTCCTCGGGCCAGCATGGTGTGTGCATGATGGGAAGTGGGATTTAAAAGAAAACACACACAAAAAAACAGTGACTGAACTTGAATCTGTATTGCCAGCTCAGCAGGGCATTAGTAAGCTTTCTAGGAGCATGGTAATAATAGTTTCCATTTATGCAACACTTACTATGAAAGGCATAGGCTAAGTGTCATATAATTGTCTCATTTACTATTCTAAGATTTCATTTCATCAAAAATATACAAAAATGTGTTTAAATTAAGCCAGGCTTATGCCAGCAGTCGATTCCCCCTCAACTCTCCTCTTGTTCCATATTTACTTCTTTAGCTCTGAAAAGGCTGCAGTAGTATTTTAGTTTTTTGCTAAATGTGTGTTAGTGGGGATTTACTAATCATCCTACTGCTCCTCCCACAATAGAAGCTATTTCTCAGCCTTCTAGGTTAGAGCTACATTATTTATTATGACCATGTAAATATGATTTTCAACAAAGCCATGTAGAATACTACTTGAATTTCCTCTCTTAAGCAACATTTTGGTTTTACAAGAGTTTATAACGGCCCCCGCAATCTCCCCTTTGCTTGGCTAACGGGGCACTGATAAGTTATCCTTAAATAGACACAACCACAAATCTACCTTTAGAATGTCCAAACTCATTAGGTAATTTGAAGTTTTGGGCTTTCCTTCGTCTTCTTGCAGTGCTAGAGACTAAACCCAGGGCCTCCCGTATGCTAGGCAAGCTCTATCACTGGGCTACATCTCACCCCAAATTTTATTTTTTCTGGAAGACATTCTCCTCTTGTGTTCCTCTGTCCTCACAGTTCAATCTAAACTGATTGTTCTCTAGGTCTGCTACACAGCAGTATTTCTAGAACTTTCCTCTCTCCTCTATGAGATCTCCAATGTCCTCCTCTTCCTTCTCCCACAAGGTGCATATACCCAAAAGCTTCTGAGAAAATGTGTGTGGGAGGTAAATGTAAAGACCCTGCATGTCTGGAATGCCTTTATTTTGCCCTTAACCTTAGGTCCTCTGTCTTACATCTCATAGACTGGCTAGGTATAGAGACTATGGTTGGAAACAGCTGTTCCTTGACAATGTTGATGGCATTGTTCTGCCGTCTTTTCATTGGTGTTGCTGGGGAGAAGACTGGGTGCCATGCCATTTCTGACCCTTTGCTCTACCCTTTTATTACACATATTTAAGAATGTTTATTTGTATGTTCTTGAGATGGGTCTTTCTTTACTCATTCTGTGGCAGTAGATGAGTTCTTGCTAAACTGGAAATCCCAATCACTCAGATCCAGGGACTATCTTGAATTAGTTCTTTGAGAATTCCTCCCATCCATTTTTGCCATGTCCCCATGTCCTAATTCATGACTCTCTGGGAACTCCAGTAGCCAGAGTTTATTTCTTTCTCTAACACTTGTTGGGTTAGCATCAACTGTAACTTGGAGCTATTAAGCTATTTTTCATTTCTAGCTTTCTGAGTGTTTTCCTTCCTATTGCATTCTACTGTGTTTCATGGATACAATATGTTATTTTAGGGTTTTTTAATGTGTGTGCTTTCTTTTTTTAGTTTTTGCTTTGAGACAGGGTTTCACTATGTAGTCCTGGCCAGCCTGGAACTTGCTATGTAGACCAAGCTGGCTTCAGTCTCATAGAGATCTGCCTGCCTCTTCCTCCTGAGTGCTGGGATTAAAGGCGTATACCACCATGCCTGGCTCAGTGTCTTATTTTAGATTTCTGTGAACGCTAGAGATTTAAACAACTGTTCTCTTTTGTACCCTGCTCTGTCTTGTTTCCTCTGAGTTCCTTCTCCCCTACTTGCTTACTGGAGGCTGTCCTCAAGTGTGATTGCTGGATGACTGTTCATACTTGAGAGTCAAGCCATGGACTGGAATCTCTATATGTAAGTGCCTCAATATAGGATGATCCTGTACAAGCTGGCTGATTACTGGGAGTCCCCAAAGATCAGTATCTGCAATTGCTTTTTTTCCAGAGAAGAATGCTCCATTCTCCTTTCTGAGGGCTACAAAGCTGCCAGCGTACTGGGAATCAACGTGGCCAAAGCTGGAGTAACTCACCATTTTACTCAACCCTATCTTTAGTATGGCATCTCTGCAGATCACTGTCTCATTTAATCTTCACCGTAATCATGAGAATGAATACCAGCACTAGTCCCATTCTGGTGATGCTACTGAGTCAGAAATCAGTGATTTGTTCAAGGTCAAAAACTAGTACGCGATGGAGCCAAGGCCAAAGTACAGATCAGACTCAACTTGCCTACTACCTCTCTTCCTGAAGAAAAACGCACTTGAAAAAAAAAACTTGGAAAATGGAAGAGAAGTAAGTTTTAAACTCATTCTTAGATTTATAACACGTAGTTCATAGATAAAAATTTTTTTGAGACCAGGTCTCATTATACAGACCAGGCTGGCTTTAAATTCACAGGGATCCACCAGTCTCTGCCTCCCAAGGGCTGGTATTAAAGGCATGTGCTCCACACCCAGCAGACAGATACACTTTTTTTTTGTTGTTGGTCTTTTTGAGACAGGGTCTCCCTGTTACCCCAGCTGTCCTGGAACTCACTATGTAGACCAGGCTGGCCTTGAACTCAGAGAGATCCGCCTGCCTCTGCCTCCCAAGTGCTGGGACTACAGGCGTGCGCCACTACGCCCAGCTTTTTAATACAATCATTGAACCTGTTCACAGATCTGAGAAACTCAGGGCATTAATATAAATGAACTAGCAGGAATAAATTTTAAGAAACTGAGATCAAATGCCAAAATAACTTCAATTTGGGTTTTGCAAACATTACACCACTGTCAATAGGTATAACAGTGTTTCTTAATCCTGCTCATTGTTTTAGTCCATCCACATGCTAGGAATAATCAAGGCACCACCACAGAGGCCTATAAGAAACAAAGCAGAAGGCTGGGCTGTAGCTCACTGGTGGAGTACTTGCCGTGCAGTACTTGCCCTGATGCCCAAAGCCTGGGTTCAAGTCTTCCCACACAAACATATGCACCTGTAAGTATGCACAGTCATAGGAAAAGATGAAGAAATGCCCTGGTACTATTAGCTATGAATAGAATTCAGGGTGGAAGTATGCAGATTAAAGGCTGGTTGTTACTACTAGTCAATAAATCAACTAGTTAAAAATCAAGTGTTTATCAACACACATTCACCAAGTTCCTAGATGACCATGGAATGACCTTTTAAAGAGAGGTAGAAAGATCAAATCAACAACAACAAACCCAGAGATGATGCCATATAGAAAGGAAGCATATTATACACATGGATGTCAGGCAGAGGGCAGAGACCTGGCAGAAAAATTTGCCAGGGAGAGTACATGGGCTCAGTCTTAAAGAATGGGTGAGCAGATCAGGAAGATGGAGGGGAAGGACAATGTAAGTCAGAGGGAGCAGAAATAGATTAAATACAAAGGCAAAATAACAAAACAAAAGCTGGGGTGCTGATGTAATTACAAACATGAAAAGACATATATTTCTACTCTAACAAAAAAAAGGTGCTTTTATACTAAAAATACTTTAACAATAAATTCTAACGCTAACCTCAGACCGCATTTCCCAAAGCTAATTGATACCAAAGGCCACACATACTGGAATATTCCCATTACAATTATTATCACTATTTTTGACACAGTATTGTTAAGTGTTGTTAAGTGTTAAGCCAATTAAGACTGACCTCCAGCTCCTGAGTTTGAGTGTGTCTCCTGTTACAGCCTTCTGGCTCTTTCCAACTAAGGAAAGCTTTTTAAGGAGGGTTTGTAACAACCTATGCTCTAAACTCAAATTCCCTCATCTTGCTCCTCTCTCACAGAGGATAACACTGGCCTACCAAAAAGAGCGACACTGAAGTTCTAGCTCATTATCAAAAGCTGGACTTCGCAACTGCTGCCATTTTCCTGGTGAGACCTTCTCCTAGGACTACGATGCTCTGCTCTTTGGAGTGTTGAAAGATTGAGAAATGTGGGGTAACTTATAATGGAGATGCTAATTTATGTTTTGCTTTTCTTCTTGTTTAACAAGACTGCAAACACTGCAAAGAGGTCGTGACCCAGGCAAGTTCAGGCCTTGACTTGTAAAGCATCATCTTTAAGAAAACACTGAAAAACATTACCAAATAATTAAATTATGCTGGATCATTCTGTATATTAATTAGTGGTAATGTTCATCTGGAAGTGTCAGCATGGAAAAGCAGTTCTGGATGTACTAATGTAACAAATCACTCTGGGTTATCCTTGAAGGGTAAAAGCCTCCAGCAGCATGCAAAGGGAGTATAGCTTTAAAAGGAAGAGTTCAACCCAAGGGGGAAATCTGTCTTGCTAATGTGTGGCTACCGGCTTTAAGCCCAGAGTGCCCAAACATGCCCCTTGGAAGAAAGGAAAAAAAAAAAAGCAGTGATAACCTACTTGTGGGGCGGGGAGTTGCTCCCAGCATACTCTACTGAGATTTGCTAGTCCTGAAGAGATAAAGAAAAAGCCTAAATAAAATGACTAGCTGCCAATCGGATTATGATAAACATTGTTCCAAGGTTAAATAAGTATTAGTTAACTAAGTCTTAGCACCATAAGAAGCAACTCAGGTGAAAACATTACCATGAAAAAGGCAGGGCTCAGTCAGGTGTTGATCCTTCAAAAAACCACTTCTTTACATGGTGAAGAATGAGCAAGCACTAAGCAGCATCTAAGCCTTTTGCCACACAAAGGGCTAACCAGATAATCCACACCCTTTCAGAGGTTTTGCCCATTGA